CGCGAAAACCCACAGCCTTCCGTTGAATTTGAATCATTAGGAATGAGTTTGACACATAAGGTTAAAGAGAGTGCTCTACACTTGGACACAGAAAGCAGCTTTGGTGTGGACCTTGACAGGGAGTGCAGTCAGAGCAAGTCCTATGCAATGGAGAAAACAGAAGCACAATGCAAAAGTGAAAAAGTAAACTGAGTTCAACAGTGATCACTAACTAACTGAAGCAAATGGTGACACATCAAGCAGAGTGATTCTCCCTCCTTGATCCAATCATAGAAACCAATGTTGGGGGGGGGGGGGTTCACAAAGTGGGGGTTAGGAGGGGACCAGACTAACTACTCCGTTTGGCCACAATGAAACACGAACAGTGAGAAGGACCAAATAGCACTCAAATCACCACAGGACCAGAGCGGTATACTACAAAGCAGAGGGGTATACTACAAAGAATAATTAATGAGTTAGCCAGCTAACTTTGATTAACAACCAGAAATAACCACATTTTCTGGTTCATTAAGAATTAACTTGTATTTTTGGTTGTTGAGTCAACTAGATCATACTCATTTAAAGCTTATCTTTTGCAGTATACCTCTCAGAATCAATGAGTTAGCCAGCTTACTTGCCTACATTTTCTGAAATTACTTATTTTTTTTGACAGATAAGCTTGAAAATGGGCATGGTTTCATTGACTCAACCAAAAACAAATATCTAAGTTCAGCCTTCTTAAAAGATGCACTCCAGGATGTTAAGCACAAATTCATAACATAGTATGAATTTGATTATTTTCACATAACGAACTGCAACATATGAAATGGATGACTTAGCACACAAAACGTGAGCCACTTTTGGCTCTTGAGCACCACTTTCAAAACTGCTAGCTGAAATTATACAAAAGTTTGAGTGCATCTTCAAAGTTAGCCAGCTAACTCGATCCTGCTTTGCAGTATAACTGTCTAGCTACCAGCAGAAAGTTTAGTTTTACATTCATGTTGGTTTCACACCAGTCAACAACAGTGCTGTCTAGAACTGAGTCGGCTAATAAGACAAGGCTATCCTGGCCTAAGACAATAGTATCAATCTGCTAGCCTAAGCAACATCCCAAATACAGCGGAGAAAAAGTTTCAATATTCATGTTTGGTAAACTACTCCTCTTAGGAATCTTCCTTCGATAAGCATTCCGCGTCCATTTTTACAGCGACCCAAAGTCGACGTGTCAATGATAAAACAATGACTATCATTTCTACCAAAAAATAGAATTTGGTTGATGGAGAGGTGGGGTATGGAAAATCAATGACTAAAAATGTCAATGTAGCAATCATAGGATATACACAACACAATTCAACATTTTAGAAAGGAAACATGAGATACATATTTTATTCACACTTTACAAAAAAAGCTAAGTCTTTAAATCTACTACAAATACTATCAGCAATTCAGGGGTATCAAACTGGACACATTTGTTTGTTCAAAACCAATAAAAACATATCAAGGGGGGGGGAAGTAGGGACAGAAAAAAAGCTTTTGAACAAGGACTACATTTATATTTCCCATTTCAACCTTTCCCCTTTGTAAAAATTCATAAAACTCTAACTTTAGCACGGTGGCAAAAGCATTATATTTACTTTAAAAAGGTGATTTTTATTTATTCAATAATAAATGTGGGAAAGGAGGGGGGGGCGTGATCATTCCATTTCCTGTTTAAAACGTGACAGTTGCAATATATAGTCAGTCATCATGGACATATTTCTGTCCAGATGGTAACAAAACAGAGATAGATAATAGCAACTTCTGTCTGGGCCACCTGACAGATTGGGAGACGGGTCAGTTCCCCACCGGTCCGACAGAGAGGAGATGGAACCACACAGGGGCTTCAGTAGCGGGGTTAAAAATACTAAAGTAATACACTTGACTGTTGTGTTTACGGGGTTGGACATTGGGCTAGGTATAGGGGAACATGCTTTTGTAGATTCAGAATTCATCAGTGGTGGAGGGGCAAGACAGGCTAGGTGACTATGGAGATAAAGGGACTATCGAGGGGTTCTAAGAGCTGTGCTAAAGTACAAGGACGGTGCAAAACATTCTGGAAGTGAGGGGGTTCAGAAGAGGTCTTCGCTTTGCCCAAGTGAACAAAAACTAAAGCTTGACAAATATTACATACCGGATTACTAGATCGCTCAACGAGGAGTATACACACACACCATAACATTGTCACAGCTCATACAAAAAAGTAAGAAAATCCAAACGATAACAAAAAACCCAAAAGACAAATGTCTAGACAGTATTTAAAAATAAATGGAGAAGAGGTTGTTCAGGAGTTCGCCAATTGTAAATAGTGCAAGACGACAAACGGCTATAGTGAGGCACAATGTTCCGGTTGTACAACACCAATTGTGAGATACTGGATGTGCGTGATGTGAAATCACTGAAATGACAACCTATTTCTTAAGTAGTGCACTTTTGAACAGAGCCACATGGGACTGGCCAACAGAAGTGCACTATAGTGAATAGGGTGTTATTGGAGACCTAGCCTTACTTTAGTCTGAACTGTGAGTGGATGAATGGTAGGTTGGTGGCTGGCAGCAGTATGGACCAATGGCTTGTTAATAGAACGGGTATGAAGACGCATCATAAGATTTTGTCAGTCAGTAGATCTATTTACAATCTGAGAAACATGCGCTCAAATCAAAACAAGCAACACTGATACATAAAAAAAAAAAAACAGTTAACCAAGGGCGGGAGAGCAAAGTAGTGGCAGCGAACGCCTGGAACAACCCCTTACGTCTTTTGTACAAGCTGGTCATTTCAATTTCATCTTAACATTTACTGGATAAAAAAAAAAAAATAGCCATAGTTTACAATACAATCCTGTCTTTTTTTCTTCAAATTGGATCATAATTTACTCATAGTACAAAAAAAACCTGCCAGAAAACAGGTATTTTGTGGCTCATATACAATCGTGTAAAGACTGAATCTAGATTTATATTCTGTACAAACACTTGTGAAAAAACCCACTGCTGTAGAGTACGGAATCGATGGCTGAGGAAAAAAAAATCACTACTGGCCTCAAGACAGTGCTACAAGAGCTGCGCGTGTGAGACAGTGAGAGGATTGCTGGTTTAAACTCCTGTACATCAGCCATTGCCCTCCCTCTTTAAAAAGTAACACATATGAAAAAATTAAAGTTGAGAATTTCCCCCATTGCCTTGCCCCTCAGCCAAAATCCCCTACCCCATTACAAAAGGTGGAATATGGTCCAAATCTGAATGGGCTACTCCAGTCCTCGGGAGGCCTGATTGCAGTCACACTTTTGCCTCAGCTAACACACCCAACTCTAATAAATCAACTAATCATGATAGTTTAAAATACCATTAGTTTAAATCAGCTGTGTTGGCTAGAGATTGGGGAAAAAGTGTGACACCACTCCGGCCCGCAAGGACTGGAGTTGCACATCCCTGGACCAAATGAAGCAATATAACAACAAGACAAAGTCAACGACTGTCACCTACACATGCAGGAGGTAAAACAGTGTGCAAAAGGGGATGGTAGCTGGCCACTAATTACATGTTATTCAACTAATTAAAATCATTCAATTTGGTTCCAATCCAGAGGATACGGATTCATTTTTAGCACTATGATTGACCGGCATGCCAACAAGCCTCCGCTAACTAGAGCTTACTTGCTTCCACATAACAGGTCCAGACAAGTGTATTTGGTGGTTGCAGTCATCCTTTCCTAAAAGGACAATAATCATCATAATCTAAAAAAAACAAAAAACACCTCAGGGCAATTCCACAGTAACAGAGACACAGAATTTTCACTTTAAAATGTATGTCAAACAAAAACCAATGATTGCAACGCTAAGCCAACCATCTCTATGCACAAGGACTACTTTTCATTTCCACTGAAGATTTAGCAAAAACTTTTACTTGATGAACAGTGCAGATGAAGTTTGGTAACAGAATGACGGCACAAAAAAGTATTATGTTACCAAACTTTGCATCTGCACTGTTCCAAGAAACAGTGGTCAAATTCAGTGGAAATTGTTAAAAGTAGTAATTGTGCATGGTTTGTTTAAACTTTGCAATCATTGGGTTTTTTTCTGACATACATTTAAGTGAAAAATCTGAGTCAGTGTCACGTTACCGTGGAATTGCCCCTCAGCAGTGACAGTCTACATGCACCAGTGGGGTTTGTTTCTATTGCACCACTTGGAGAGGGAGACAGCTGACTTGGTTCTATTAGTAAATAGTAGTGAACTGGTAGCACCAGGTGAGCACCACAATTTTGGACCCACAGCGAGATTGGCCATATAGCACAGAAAGGAGGAGCGGCACACCATGTTATGATTTATATGGTAGATAGATATCTATATGGTAGATAGAGAAAGCCCACCCTTAGCCTTGGCTGAGTCAGAAACGTCTAATGCCGTTTTTGCTGTTTTGAGATTGGTATAGAACAGACTATCAGCTTTAGAAGTGGTGTCCTTTTGCCTTTTGTCTCCTTGCCTTGTGAAGGGTGTCCAAAGCTCGAGTGATACAAGGTATTTCTTGTGCCATTGTTCAAGACTGCACAGGTCATGTCAAAGACAACAAGAGTCAGGTGATATTGCTAAAGACATAAATATCTATACGGGGCCAGAAGGGATATTGTGATATTCGAAGCTACCATCCTTTCTATCTGTTAAAGAGTTCCAAAAAGCATTATGGGTAAGATGACCGGGTGAAGGGTTGGGGGGGTAGGAATCCAAAACACAAGATAATATACACAACAGACAGAATTGACATTTTCAAAATGAAAACAAATGGAAAAAATATATAACAGAAATCCCTGTCGGCCAGACCTCACTGTACGCCTGATTCCTATTTTACAGGTTGGTTGTGTATTCCCTCTTGTCTTCCTTCCTCAGAGTGAAAACGAGAGAAGCGCTGGAGGGCTAGAGGTTGCACACTGCTGTAGCATACTGCTGTAGCATACAGCGCCCCGTGTGGAGTGGGTTTGTCTCACCACTACCTGCGTCCGCCAGGCAGGTGGATGCCGTTGACCTGGTTGTTGGCCTGGACCTGGGGCAGAGTGCTGGGCAGCAGCAGCTCCAGCTGGGCGAACAGGGAGAAGTGGTCAGAGGGGATGTGGGGGTGCGGGCAGCCGCTGATATTGTTCTCATGGAGCCAGTTGGAGTCCAGGGGACCCAGGATGCCCAGCACGTTGATCTGAGGCTTGGAGTAGAAGATGTAGTCAATCACACCCTGAGGAGAGAGAGAGAAGAGGGGGATGAGTGACAGCGTTTTCGACCAGATTTTAATTAGGCAGGCAAACTGGTCATATCAAATAGAAACCGGTTTGAATGTTGTTACGTGTAGGATTGTGCTTTTTACGGAATGCCCAGTGCCGACTGCCGAATTGACTGCAATGATTGAGCTATACAAGCAGGAATGATACCCTACCAAGTGAACGTTGGCTCCTTGCACATCTTCCTTTGTTATCTGGCTTGTTAATATCCTCCATTTCAGTGTAAATGTATTTTTCCACTTGTCCGCGATCCATTCCTTGGTACAGTAGTTATCTAGCTAGCTTTGCAAATGTTTCAGCATTTCTAAGCCAACTAGTCGACCACCTTGGTGGACCTGTATGACATTTCTGTAAATTCGCTTTTAGCAAAATTCATCTAGCAAAATGTCGCTCAATAACTGAACACTTCTCCCCAACATGCAAACAGTCCGTCACGGATTCACTGGCGCGGGAAACTTTGTGGGCCGGTATTAGTTGATACAATACTGCAAGTCTGCAGACAGGAAGAGTAGAAAGATGATGCGTTTGAAAGACAAACAACCTGAACCAACTTCCATGCATTGCTAATGTAATTTATAGATAATACTTATTTTATTCAGTACATTTTCTGTAATGTTTTTATTTGTTGGCTTTTATGTATTTTTACCGGCCAGAAGTCAGCAATTTCCGGCTAATGGAAAAGCTGATGACTGAGGAAGAGAACGCATGTGGAAGGGGAGAGCACTGATGAGTGCAACATCATGTCTAACAATTGGCCACAATGTCAGAGTACATGAAACCTTTGCAAAGCAGGTGTATGCTGCAGAAAAAAGACCCCATGGGTCAATTTCAATGTCGTAAAAATAGGATTTCCTGATTTATCAGGACAAGATCAAACAGCAATCTGCTGTACTGTCAGAAGGCAGCCTCAGAGACAGTGCTTCAAGTGTGCCTGTGTGCGCACGCGCATATGTGTGTGTGCGGCTCCTCACCTTGAAGTCAAAGGTGTAGTTGGTGTAAGGCATCAGGCTGTCCTCGTAGGCGCTCTTCAGCTTGAAGCCGTGGGTGATCCTGGAGTTGGATGTGGAGTTGCCGTTCTTGCCATTGCAATTGAAGTTGGTGAGGCTGTCAAGGTAGCGAAGCTCCTTGAAGTCCTTGTGGGTGCAGTCCACTCCACCCTGACTCAGGTACTCCACCACGCCTGGAGAGAGGGACGGTAGGGGTTTACATGAGTCCTGTTCAGTATAGGGGACTGTGCTACCTAAACTTGCCCAATTATGACAGATTTTCCTTTTCCATTGCAAAACGTTTTTCCCTACTGAACACAACCTATAAGTGTCTGTTAATTCCTTCATTCAAAGTAACCATCACCAGGCAGATCGTGGGCCCATCACTATTGATTGTTTATAGCTTTCCCTTCTAACCCAGTCACTCACCAGAGTCTGGTAGAGAGTTCAGGTCAGCACAGAGCACCAAAGGGATGCCGTTGGTCTCCCCAGAGACAGAGGATAGTTTGAGGCTGCGCGTGGCCTTGTCCACAATGTTCTTCACCTCAGACAGGAACATCATGGTCTGGACCAGTTTGACGTCGGAGTACTCCGGGTCCCAGTGCATGTGAGCATTAGCCACCAGGAGGAGCTGTTTCTCCATGCCATGCAGAGACTTCCCCGCTGGAGAGGAGGAGGCACAGAAAAATACATGTGTGGGGGTTACTTTAAAGGGTCAATAAAGCAGTACAAACAATAAAAAAGTCCATGCCACTGTTTTTGTAAAAAGCTGGGGCTGGAGAAATGGAACATCTCTTTAAAATGAACTGCAAACATCTGAAGCTGGAGACTTATCTCCCGCACTAACTTTAAGCATCAGTTGTCAGAGCAGCTTACCGATCATTGCACCTGTACACAGCCCATCTGTAATTAGCCCACCCAACTACCTCATCCCCATGTTATTTATTTTGCTAATTTGCACCCCAGTATCTCTATTTGCACATCATCTTCTGCACATCTATCACTCCAATGGTAATACTAAATTGTAATTATTTTGCACTATGGCCTATTTATTGCCTTACCGCCATAACTTACTACATTTGCACACACTGTATATAAATGTTCTATTTTTCTATTGTGTTATTGACTATATTTTTGTTTATCCCATATGTAACTGTGTTGTTGTTTTTAAATCGCACTGCTTTATCTTGGCCAGGTCGCAGTTGTAAATTAGAACTTGTTCTCAACTGGCCTACCTGGTTAAATAAAGGTTAAAAAAAAAAAAAATCATAAAAACAGAGCCATGGATGCAAGTACTGACCATCCATGATATCAAGATGGCTGGTTTAACAATGTTGAGGCTATAGTGTTTATTATAAAATGTACTTAGTCGACAAACATTGGAGTAGAACAAGCTTATATACACACACACACACACACACACACACACACACACACACACACACACTGAACAAAAATATAAATGCAACAATTTCAAAGATTTAACTGAGTTACAGTTCATAAGGAAATCAGTCAATTTATATGAATTCATTAGGCCCTAATCTATGGATTTCACATGACTGGGAATACAGATATGCATCGGTTGGTCACAGACAACTTCAAAAAAAAATTTGAAGGTACGTGGATCAGAAAACAAGTCAATATCTGATGAGACCACCATTTGCCTCATGCAGTGTGACTGTTATGACATGTCATAGGTTAGAGTTAGTAGATAAGTGGTTTGGGGCCATGGAGTCTACATTCCGATATGTCAAAGGAGATTACTGATGTTTAGGATAGCATGATTGATGGACAGGATATACTGATAACATCAAAGAATGGGAGTGCTCATTGACGATGGCCAAATGTGGTTGAAGAAATGTGTAACCAAGAGTATAAAAGATGAGATTTGTGTGTGTGGGTAGTTCAACTGACAAAGGGCAGAGCTATGTCCGTTTTGTTAGATGAACCCACAAGCTCGTGATCCAATAAACACTTGCTAAAGTAAATTCTTGCATCCTCACTTGGAATTGTGTACAGATCCTTGCGACATGGGTCTGTGCATTGCCATGCTAAAACACGAGGGGATGACGGCAGATGAATGGCATGACGATGGGCCTCAGGATTTCGTCACGGTATCTCTGCATTTCAAATTGCCATCGATAAAATGGAATTGTGTTCATTGTCCGTAGCTTATGCCTGCCCATACCATCACCCCACGGCACTCTGTTCACAACATTGACATCAGCAAACCGCTCGCCCACACGTCGCCATACACATGGTCTGCGGTTGTGAGGCCGGTTGGACATGCTGCCAAATTCTAAAACAACGTTGAGGCGACTTATGGTAGAGAAATTGACAAATTATCTGGCAACAGCTCTGGTAGACATTACTGCAGTCAGCATGCCAAGTGCATGCTCCCTTGAATTTTAGACATATGTGGCATTGTGTTGTGTGACAAAACTGCACATTTTAGAGTGGCCTTTTATTGTTCCCAGTACAATGTGCACCTGTGTAATGATCATGCTGTTTATTCAGATTCTTGACATGCCACACCTGTCAGGTGGATGGATTATCTTGGCAAAGGAGAAATGCTCATAAACAGCGATAAACAGATTTGTGCACAACATTTTAGAAATAAGCTTTTGAGTATGGAACATTTCTGGGATCTTTTATTTACATGTGTTTATATTTTGGGTTCTGATGGTGTACGACAGTTGAACTAAGCTCATGTACCCATTGATTCTTGAAGAATATATATCATTCATAAGGCCAAAAATAGATGTAGCAATTGCTGATTGCCCCTTTAAAGGCAGAGCACAGCCGTGGGACACAAGACAGAAAAGTGCAGCAGCAGTCACTCCACCTTTGAAGTTCTAGGATTAAAGTGAGAAGAAGTTAAGGCGCTGTGGTACACCCTTGAAAACCGACTGGGAGACAGACATTTCTAAGCAATGCGGATACAGATAAAACACATCACATTTTTTATAATTCACCGACCATATTACTAAACTTGTTCAGTCCTTTCAGTTCTTCGAACACCAAATTAGTTAGAACAAGACGAAGAGGCAGGTGCAGGGGCTAGGGTGACTAATGTCAGAGCTTGACATTCAGTTAAATTTGCCAGTGGCAACCCGGGCCAGTGGCAACTGAAAGCTACTGCCCAAATGAAAAAAATACTGGACTGGTACAAGATCTCACAGGAAAGCAGATGATATGCTCATAATTTCAATATTCAGTGATTTTCTCTATTTTGCGGGCGGATCAAGTAGCCTATAACCTACCCTCCATACACAAATAATTACATTTTAACTTGACAATATCATATTTACATTGATTGCGCAAATGTAAAATGTTTCCCTCCAAACAATCTCAAAAAGGGTGTTATTTTTAGCGATTTTGAACAGTTAGCAGGCTACAGTTGTAGGGCCCTATGAAATCAGTTTGATATTTCGCTAAATTCTGTTTTCACTGCTTTCCCTAGTTTTTTTTTATTCTCAAAAATCTCAAGTCCACAACAATGCTTAAACCACATCAGGAGACCTTTGGGGGAGGGTGTAGTTGCCCTTTAATTCAATTGCCACCTACTAAGAGATCGTTGTGTTTGGCTTTCTGTAGCCTACTGTGCAATGAACAGCGACATACATGTGATGGCAGAGTTCGCAAAACAAATGCCGACCTGATAGATACAAATCATGATACAATTCTGCCAGTTAGATCTACTTTACAGTCAACATTTAAATTGGGAACGTTTTTTGAGAAAGCCTTTAAGAAAGAATTTCTCTCAGCGCATGATTTAATTGTTCATTTAAGATTTAACCAAGACTTCACACCAAACCTTTTAAATACCTGGTTTGTATACCCACTGTTGCCTTAGCATTTACTGGTAGATGCTGTATCATAAGATTAAACGAATGATGTATATAAACTCTGGATTGCTGATGCTATACATTGGCCAATGAGAGGCTTTGAAGCCACCAGTGGGCCATATTGGCAGTTCCTACTCCACAGGAATGAATGGAATTCTACAGTATTGCAACTAAAAGTTAAGGACAAAATTACATATTTAAGTATTTTTTGTTGCAGTGGGGACCGTAACATTAGAACTTCCTAATAATTATGCTTTAAAACTGTAGGAAGCATGGGTTTACACAAAGTAACAAGTGTGGTCAAAAGACCGTTGTAGTCACGATCTGGTTACCTATAACTACACAGTTATGTTTTAGCGTTTTTACATATTTATTAACTTATTTCCGGATATCTTCGGAACTACCCACAATGCACTATTTCTCAACGTCATATGGAGAACCAGTGCTACCTAGGTAGTTCCAGCTGGCTATTGTTAGCATGGCTAGCAGCTAACATGTAATTCCATTCCAAACCAAGTGTTGGCGCTGGTGAGCTACTATGTACATCCACGAAGAAGAAACCATATGAATTCATGCGAAAAACTGCATCTCCTCGTTTCCTGTGCGTTTGGAAGTGGTAATCGAGCGAGTGAGCGTTGTAGTGGTTTTCTGTCGTTCGTAGCTAGTACACTAATACCCACAAGGACGGGGTTACGACTCATTTGAAGTGGGACCGGTTTGTCCGGTTGATGCAAGCGGACTGGAGTATGGGAACCGTGTGCACATCTACTGTATGCGGTGATCATTTCACCCTGGAGGACGTTGATGGCTTAGCATAACCAGTGGAAGGCAGGATTCGGAATGAGACTGACAAACCAGGTGCTGTGCCGAGCATGACTGAAGCCTGCAACCTCCATTTTCTACAGACCTACAGGTACATCGCAAGTGTCAGCAGCGATGGCGATAAACCAGGTAAATTCAATGTGGATTTACCTCACTATAACGCTATTGGATAAGCGGACTCCCTCGGCCAGTGAAACGACCTCTCCAGCTGAAGGCCTCTCCTTGGCCCTTCTGACTTTGGTAGCCAACTCAGCAGTCAATCGGTAAGTCTCCGTTCTCTTTAATTTATATCTGCTGGCTTTTTTTGTTGTGTTCTGTGTGTTCCTGCCAGTGCTAGACTAGTTGTTCTCTAGCTTACTACCGTGGTGGTAATAACCAACTTTAGCTGGCAGGCTAAGAACTGCTTATACCGGTAACATTATTTGATAACTGGTTAGACGGCGTTATGAATTTCCAAAACTTGTTTACATTTTAGTCATTTAGCAGACGCTCTTATCCAGAGCGACTTACAGTTAGTGAGTGCATACATTATATTTTTCATACTGGCCCCCCGTGGGAATCGAACCCACAACCCTGGCGTTACAAACGCCATGCTCTATCAACTGAGCTACATCCCTGCCGGCCATTCCCTCCCCTACCCTGGACGACGCTGGGCCAATTGTGCGCCGCCCCATGGGTCTCCCGGTCATGGCCAGCTACGACAGAGCCTGGATTCGAACCAGGATCTCTAGTGGCACAGCTAGCACTGCGATGCAGTGCCTTAGACCACTGCGCCACTCGGGAGACTTAATGTATATAAAATAAATGCATTGCCTTTCCCCTATTGGACCTAGATATTTAGTGAGTATATATCGATATGTGGGCTGTGTGCCATTTTAAAAATGTATGTAGTTCTGTCCTTGAGCTGTTCCTGTTTATTATTGTTACGCATCATGTCATGTTGTGTAGACCCCAGGAAGAGTAGCTGCTGCTTTCGCAACAGCTAATGGGGGTCCTAATAAAATCCATGTTGAGCCCTGAATGGGATAGGGCCATAGCAAGGTGTAGGATCTACGGCAGTGATGGGCAACCCCCTTTTGTAGGCCCATTGATAAACTTTTTATTTTTTTGAAAAATGTAAACGTGAAGTGTTTCATGTGCTAAAATAAAAGATCCTAGAAAGTTTCCATACACACAAAAAAACTTCTCAATTTGTGCACAAATGTGTTCACCATTCCTCTTAGTGAGCATTTCTCCTTTGCCAAGATAATCCATCCACCTGACAGGTGTGGTATATCAAGAAGTTGATTAAACCGTATGATCATTACACAGGTGCACCTTGTACTGGAGACAATAAAAGGCCACTAAAATATGCAGTTGTGTCACACAACGCCACATTGAGGGAGCGTGCAATTGGCATGCTGACTGCAGGAATGTCCACCAGAGCTGCTGCCAGAGAATGTAATGTTCAATACTCTACCATAAGCCGCCTCCAATGTCATTTTATAGAATTTGGCAGTACGTCCAACCGGCCTCACAACCACGTATAACCATTCCAGCCCAGGACCTCCACATCCGGCTTCGTCACATGCGGGATCATCTGAGACTAGCCACCCGGACAGCTGATAAAACTGAAGAGTATTTTTCTGTAATAAACTCATTTTGTGGGGAAAACTAATTCAGATTGGCTGGGCCTGGCTCCCAAGTGGGTGGGCCTGGCTCCCAAGTGGGTGGGCGTAAATGCCCTCTTAGGCCCCCCCATGGCTGCGCCCCTGCCCAGCAGAGTATGTGAGCACAGTTTAGCTGTTGGCCGCTCATTGCTCAAGGCGCTCCATGTCCTTACCTACCGCTAAAAAAACGCTACAGGCCCACAGAAAAATAAACTCCTGCTCCAAATTCGCGCCATTCATTAAAATCACAATTTAACCAACACCCATCTATTTTTGTGACTACCTGGACCTAACAATTGTTTAAGTATTGAAATCAAACCATATGGATTTGAATGAAAAGTATTTGAATAAACATGAAAAGGTGAATGTAAGAAACAAAACATCATTTCAAATAGGCTACATGTCATATTAAAACAGCATAATACTAGGTCAGGAGCCAGACAGGGAGCCTAAGAAGAAACGAAAATGAATTATTTAGGCTATATTATTTAAATTATTTCAAGGCTATAGCCTACAAAGGAATACATTGTGAAGCATTTGCGAGTGCAACACAATGGGCTGGAAGGGACGTAAAGTGCACAGCATTTAAACATTGTTGTATTAAATCATTATTTAGTCTATAAATTGCGCATTTAGGCTGTGAATTACTTAGAATTCAATCAAAAATTACTTATTGGTGCCTTTTGAATTCATTTTTAGAAACACAAGCTTGGCCAGTCTGTGGCTTTAGGCTCATGCGATTGTGCCTGGAGAGCCAGCCAGCAGCGGAGAATATCCTCTCCACACTTGCAGAGCCACTGGGGATGCTAAACACCCACTCTTGCCAGGCTGGGCAGAGATGTTTTTGTATTTTTCTATAGGTAGGCCTAAAGGTTTTTAGGCAAAATAACCCAATTAAAACAGAACGCTCCTTGGAAGTGGGAAAATGCCAGGCCCTATTGGGCCAAAATCAATTTTGGCCTATTGTATAGATAATAGAAAAGTTGATGATCTGATTTCTGTTTATAAATACTTTGCTACAATGACAGTTATCTACCCACCTCGTTCCCTTCTTTTAGCATGTGCACATAGTAAGTACACCATCATACTTTCGGGATAAGTGTATTTTCAGATTCCACAACAATTCTTTAGTTGTGGAGGTTTCATGTAGCCAGCGTGTGATCAATTTCCATATCCTGCGCGTAGAACAATGGCATGCGGTCTATAACCTAACAGTTTAGCACCATACCAGCAGGTGGCATCCAAGCCTTACACATAACATTTACATTTTAGTCATTTAGCAGACGCTCTTATCCAGAGCGACTTCCAGTTAGTGAATACATATTTTTATTTATTTTTATACTGGCCCCCCATGGGAATCGAACCCACAACCCTGGCGTTGCAAACGCCATGCTCTATCAACTGAGCTACATCCCTGCCGGCCATTCCCTCCCCTACCCTGGACAACGCTGGGCCAATTGTGCGCCGCCCATGAGTCTCCCGGTCGCGGCCGGCTGCGACAGAGCCTGGATTTGAACCAGGATCTCTAGTGGCACAGTTAGCATAACAGTGGACACTACATCACCGCACTCACTCGCTTGCTCCTCATCTTTGTAAGTCACCTTGATTTAGCATGTGTTATCAGTTTCTTTATGAAAATATTTAGCGAACTCCATGACAGTAGCTAAAGCAAGGGGCTATTAGCAGCACACAAGTAGACTACAAATGCATGCTGGAGCGGGCATGCCCTGAGCTCGTGAAGTGAGCGTTTCTGGAGCAGAATTGGAGCAGGCGAGAAGGCCAACGCTCCAGCCTTTGGAAATCTCACTCCAGTCAAAATCAGGCACGCTCCGCTCCTCGCTCACATACTTTGCTGCCCAGTCATGTGAAATCCATAGGTTAGGGCCTAATTAATTAATTTCAATTTCCTTATATGAACTGTAACTCAGTAAAATCGTTGTTTATATTTTTGTTCAGATAAATATATATTTATGGGGGGGTGGGGACTCACTCAGGGTCTCAACCTAATGTTGGGAGTTAGAATAGTAGAACACACAAGATGCAATTTTGAAAATGGTTGTCCAGCAGCAGTTCCTCTTGTTATGTCAGTCACTCAATTAGCCCATGTCAGCAAAATCATTTTTGATTTGTAAGTTAGTTTAGCCAGCCATCTAAACTTGTAGTAATCATGGTCGAATTACCGACCAGGGCCCCCCCCATTGATTTTGTTAGTCACTCATATCACTGCAAAGATTTATCTCCACCCCATGGCAAAATGTGTAGAATTGCTGGAAATTAACTCCAAAACTTTTGTTCTCCGCTGTCAGGAGGGGGGGGGGGCGCTAAAATGTTGTGCCCCCCCCCCCCAAAAAAAAAGTTAACTTAGGGGCCCCAAAAGGTTAGGGCTGGCTCTGACTGCATGTGTAGGTATGGATGTGGGTACGAAGTCCCGCTTGCCACTGCAGCCCCTCATGATGAGTTCAGATTTTTTTGTGGCCCCCACCCATATCAAAGTTGCCCATCTCTGGTCTAGGGTGAGAAAAGGCACAGGGCCATAGCTAGGTGTAGGGTGAGAAAAGGCACAGGGCCATAGCTAGGTGTAGGGTGAGAAAAGGAACATAGCACTCACAGGATTCCTCCATCATTTCCTTTCGGACCTCCAGCAGTACGGCCACTCCGATGTTGTCCTTGGTCATGACCCTGTTGAGCATGGCCTCAGAGCCCTCAGAGTTAGCCATGGCCAGCTGGTTAAACTCCACTGTGTGTTTCTGCACCACACCGAACCTGAGAGCGGGAAGAGAGAGAAAGTAGAGAGGTAGGCAAGGGTGAAGAGAGACGGGCAGAGAAAGAGAGAAACAGACAAAGCAAGATGTGACAAGTAACCAGGTTTCCATCAAACGCAGAAGAATTACCTGACGCAAAAAATTTAAAAAAATCACGACAGGACTGATGGAAACAAGAAATGTCGGTACAATTATAGAAATGCCGACTGACAATTTGTTCGTTTGACATGGTGGGATCTTTGTGTTAGTAAAAGTCATTATGCGAGAAATGGCGGCGGAAACGCCTACCACGACGTGGAAAAGCATGAAAAGGTTATATAGGCAGATGAAATCAAGGTGATCATGCAAATCTCCAATAGGCTAAATATCGAGGATAGACTATTTGAATGCTGGTGACATGATCGGTACTTGGCTGCCAATTATCATATACAATGATCTTGCTCATCCACATAATCTATCCACTTTATCAGCAAACTGTTGTCGCGAGAGCATGCACCAAAACCAGATTGGACAAGTTTTATATATTTACAGTGAGGGAAAAAAGTATTTGATCCCTTGCTGATTTTGTACGTTTGCCCACTGACAAAGAAATGATCAGTCTAATTTTAATGGTAGGTTTATTTGAACAGTGAGAGACAGAATAACAACAAAATCCAGAAAAACACATGTCAAAAATGTTATAAATTGATTTGCATTTTAATGAGGGAAATAAGTATTTGACCCCTCTGCAAAACTTGACCTAGTACTTGGTGGCAAAACCCTTGTTGGCAATCACAGAGGTCAGACGTTTCTTGTAGTTGGCCACCAGGTTTTCATACATCTCAGGAGGGATTTTGTCCCACTCCCTTTAAGAGTGTGCTCCTAATCTCAGCTCGTTACCTGTATAAAAGACACCTGTCCACAGAAGCAATCAATCAGATTCTAAACTCTCCACAATGGCCAAGACCAAAGAGCTCTCCAAGGATGTCAGGGACAAGATTGTAGACCTACACAAGGCTGGAATGGGCTACAAGACCATCACCAAGCAGCTTGGCGAGAAGGTGACAACAGTTGATGCGATTATTCACAAATGGAAGAAACACAAAATAACTGTCAATCTCCCTCAGCTTGGGGCTCCATGCAAGATCACCTTGTGGAGTTGCAATGATCATGAGAACGGTGAGGAATCAGCCCAGAACTACACGGGAGGATATTGTCAATGATCTCAAGGCAGCTGGGACCATAGTCACCAAGAAAACAATTGTAACACACTACGCCGTGAAGGACTGAAATCCTGCAGCGCCCGCAAGGTCCCCCTGCTCAAGAAAGCACATATACAGGCCTGTCTGAAGTTTGCCAATGAACATCTGAATAATTCAGAGGAGAACTGGGTGAAAGTGGTGGTCAGATGAGACCAAAATCGAGCTCTTTGGCATCAACTCAACTCGCCGTGTTTGGAGGAGGAGGAATGCTGCCTATGACCCCAAGAACACCATCAAACATGGAGGTGGAAACATTATGCTTTGGGGGTGTTTTTCTGCTAAGGGGACAGGACAACTTCACCGCATCAAAGGGACGATGGACGGGGCCATGTACCGTCAGATCTTGGGTGAGAACCTCCTTCCCTCAGCCAGGGCATTGAAAATGGGTCGTGGATGGGTATTCCAGCATGACAATGACCCAAAACACATTGCCAAGGCCACAAAGGAGTGGCTCAAGAAGAAGCACATTAAGGTCCTGGAGTGGCCTAGCCAGTCTCCAGACCTTAATCCCATAGAAAATCTGTGGAGGGAGCTGAAGGTTCGAGTTGCCAAACGTCAGCCTCGAAACCTTAATGACTTGGAGAAGATCTGCAAAGAGGAGTGGGAGAACATCCCTCCTGAGATGTGTGCAAACCTGGTGGCCAACTACAAGAAACATCTGACCTCTGATTGCCAACAAGGGTTTTGCCACCAAGTCATGTTTTGCAGAGGGGTCAAATACTTATTTCCCTCATTAAAATGCAAATCAATTCATAACATTTTTGACATGCGTTTTTCTGGAAATAAATTTTTGTTCTTCTGTCTCTCACTGTTCAAATAAACCTACCATTAAAATTATAGACTGATCATTTCTTTATCAGTGGGCAAACGTACAAAATCAGCAGGGGATCAAATACTTTTTTCCCCTCACTGTATATTATCACAAGTTTGTTACAAAACCATCAGTAGAGTTAAATTAGTGGGCATGGGAACTTAACCGCAAAAGTGTTTTTTACGTCATCATGCACAGCCTTTTATCTGCAACAAGTCAGTTGATGGAAACACCACTCCTGGGAAAATGTGCATGTTGTTTTTATGCACATTTTAGAATATTAGCTTAAAAATCTGTCAACTTAGCTAGTGTCAGTCATTGAGCATTGTCTGCAAAAAAATAATGATTTGACAGTGATCCTCCGGTGCACTCACTTTTCTGTCCTGTAGAAAACTGCACACCCGTCCACATGTTTGCGGTCTGACTCATGCATGGTTCTGGCTCGAGACTTGGGGCTGAAGAAGCCCTCATAGCCCTGCTCCTTCAGCTCTGGCAGGAAATACTGGTAGTACTGCTCAGTCTCCACTTCCTGTAGAAAATAAATCATGCATTAAAGAAGACAGATGACTGAACACACCCAAAACATGTACCAGGGAAATCAGGTTCATTGATCAATGACTTGCCAGAGAAAAACCAAAAGGACTGCGACAGGAGTTATTTAACACTGGTCGAGGTTTATCCACATACCTGTAGGCTGATGATGTCAGCGCTGCAGTTCATGATCTCCTGCATGATGGACTTCTTCCTGTACTCCCAGTTGAGGGCCCAGGAGGGGCAGTAGCCGTAGAGCTGGCGCGTGGCGTACTTATCACACAGCACGTTGTAGCACATCACTGAGAACAATGCTGAGAGGGAGGACAGGGAGGGAGACGTAGGATATAGAACCTTATTCACTGTATTCTTATTTTAGAAACATTTAGGGCAGGGACAATACCAGTATAGCGATACTCGTTAGTATCGTGGCAGGGAAACAACACACAAAGCAGATTTAACTTATTTAGGAAAACAGCACTAATGTGTGTGTGTGTACAGGGACTGTCTGCTGGTCTCTCACCAGAAGGCCTCGTCTGGTCCGGCTCCTGGAGTGCGATCCACGACCGGGACGGGGGCTGCTCCGTGGGGGCTGGGGACAGGAGGGGTTGTCCATGTTAGCCATCAGTTATCTTTGCTAAAATGTTATGTGAGAGAGAGGGTGACTTACTGCGTTTGATTGAACCTGCCAGATTGTCCAGCAGGTAGTTGAGCAGTTTCCTCGTGCCATCATGCTCCTGGTACAGGCTCGTGATTTCTTGTGCAAGTGGGTTTCCTGTTAGGAGCAGGAAGAGGAAGGAACGAAGACAACGTTGAATTACATTATTCATTTATTTTTTAACGCAACGGGATCAACAATGGGGTCTCCAGGACGGAATGGTTACCAAGACGATAAGCCACACTCACCTTTCAACCCCAGTGTTTGTAACTGAAACAGTTTTCCCAATTCGAATGGCAGAACCCGTAACTGGTTGTTATTTAAAAGCAGCTCCCTGTTGAGGATGGACACAGGGAAATGCAGGTGTCAGAGACTAGCCCCTGTGACAATATAGCCCCTTTCTCAACTTTCCCATAAACAATTAACACATTGACCAGTGATCTATACAGGCAAAAGTAAATGCTCTGTGAGCCCAACAAGTTTATTTTTTTTAAACATTTTTTTGGGACAATGGTTATTTTCAACACCAACCAGTGACAAGTCCAGTTTAGAACAAAGTGAATCGTGGGAAACTCAGTTCCCAGCGGCTCACCTGAGAGACACCATGTTGCCGAGCTCTGCCGGCAGGCTCCTGATCTTATTGGACGACACATCCAGGTACAACAGGTTGTGTAGTTTGGCAATGTCGGGCGGGATACGTGACAGACAGTTGTCAGCGATATGTAGGGCAGTGAGGTGGGTCAGAGTCCACAGAGATGGGCTCAGGCTCCTGACATTACCTGGAGAGAGAGATGTGGAGGGGGAGACAGGTAGATAAACATACACAGTTGAGTCATGTCTCTCTGTGGTGGCTTTTCATGCAAAGCAGATACAGGTTTGTTTCTACCTAACACATGAGTAAACAGCCATGCTGGACTTACCAGTCAAACCAATATACAGGCCTATAAAACAGAGGACCTTATCCTCTAAGGATTAGAATGCTAGTCCCTGAACAAAAATGGTTGATAAACTGGCCTAGACTAGATAATCCTCACATGTTGAGTCCTAATATGAGAACAGCACCCCTCCACAACCTCTGTGCCACCCCCTGCCATGCTCACCTGTGATTTCCAGCTCAGCCCAGTAAGACTTCTTTCCATTGGCTGCCTCCTCAGTTGACATGATGGTGTACATCCGCCTGGGGTCTGGCGGTTCATATTTTTCCTTGGGCATTCCTGCTGTAACACTGTGGGGGAAATGTTTTTTAGTAACTGAACATGATATCTATCCACTGATAAAATGCATGTCAAACACAATGACATTTTGAAAGAATGACTGTTCACTAGCAGCTTGCTAGCTACTTTACAAACATGCAAAGAGGAACCTTGTACATTTTCAAGAGGGCTTCACTTGATTCTGACAACTTCTGGAAATGAGGCTCAAATATGTGGCCATATTATTGGCTGGCTGCTGATACTAATTGCAGAAATAACTCAGTTTCAATGAGAATGCATTGCTTTACAGCTTAGCAATGAGTGATATCAATAAAGTTGAACTTATAATACTCATGACAACAGCCAAGTTATCTAGTTAGCCAGCCAACTAGCTCTACACAACAGGCCGCACAGAGCAATAACAACCATCACTAACTAGCTAGAGAACACAAACTGGCCGGCTAGTTAGCCAATTGATTTACGCGTTGAGGCCGGCATCGAGTCAGGAAAACTGGGACTAGCTAGATGTCTTATAATTTAAGCTACTGTTAGGGGCTAACTAGCAAATTAGCCAACGGCCGTCTACTACTGAATAACTTCGTCCGAATTATAGTTAGCTGATATAGTTCCCTAACCAATGAATTGAGAAGATATTAACGTTGGAATATTATTCTAGATGTAACTGACCATAACACATTAGGCTGACTGAGTAGCAGCTAGCTAGCTCACTTACGGCTAGCTAGCTAGCGTAACTATCCTGGCTATTCCTAGTGGAAACCCCCGCTGAAAGCTAATGTTGGCTAGCTCAGCTAGGCATCTACATTTTTCGAACTTGTCCGAGTAAAGTCCCACTTTATGAAATATCTATGCAGCAATAATAGAAAACAATAGAGTTGTGGATCTGTTTGACCCAAAGAACCTCGTCGCTCGTGTTAATTTTTACCTGCAAAAGCATACCAATCTGTATCGCGAGGACGAGTGCGTGCTCTCTTTTGTTTCTACTTTTCTCGTTTCCGCTGCTATATCACAAGGAGCAAACAAGCATCATGGCGACTGTCAGGTTTTTTCTCGCTGTGTGATAATAACGCTTGATGCTATTGGTTAGTTCTTGGATGGACCGCACCATCTGTGGTTGAGCTAGGACGGCTTTGGTTGAACGTTTATGGGAAACTTCAGGGGTGTGTTCAAGAATCAACAGCTGTCAATCAAACTGATATGACGTCACATGAGTCTGGTCTCAACTTTCATCATTCTTGGCTGAACCATTCATTGTTCTTTATAATGAGCAAATCATGGACGCTGAAATCCTAGTCATAATGAGCGAGTGGGCTGAACTATACAGCACATGGCTATGTTCTTCATACACTTGGTTCTTTGCTTGATTTGAGACCATGCAACCTATCAGCATATGGTGCTTGAATTACTGGCTTACTTCCTGTGTTGATATTTTTTTATTTAACCTTTATTTAACCAGGTTAGCCAGTTGAGAACAAGTTCTCATTTACAACTGCGACCTGGCCAAGATAAAACAAAGCATTGCGATAAAAACAACAACACGGAGTTACATATGGGGTAAACAAAACATAAAGTCAAAAATACAACAGAAAATCTATATACAGTGTGTGCGAATGTAGTAAGTTATGGAGGTAAGGCAATAAATAGGCCATAGTGCAAAATAGTTAAAATTTCGTATTAACACTGGAATGATAGATGTGCAAAGGATGATGTGCAAATAGAGATACTGGGGTGCAAATTAGCAAAATAAATAACAATATGGGGATGATGTAGTTGGGTGGGCTAATTTCAGAATGGCTGTGTACAGGTGCAGTGATCGGTAAGCTGCTCTGACAACTGACGCTTAAAGTTCGTGAGGGAGATAAGAGTCTCCAGCTTCAGAGATTTTTGCAGTTCGTTCCAGTCATTGGCAGCAGAGAACTGGAAGGAATGGCGGCCAAAGGAGGTGTTGGCTTTGGGGATGACCAGTGAGATATACCTGCTGGAGCGCATACTACGGCTGGGTGTTGCTATGGTGACCAGTGAGCTAAGATAAGACAGGGATTTGCCTAGCAGTGATTTATAGATGACCTGGAGCCAGTGGGTTTGGCAATGAATATGTAGTGAGGGCCAGCCAACAAGAGCGTACAGGTCACAATGGTGGGTAGTATATGGGGCTTTGGTGACAAAATGGATGGCACTGTGATATACTACATCCAATTTGCTGAGTAGAGTGTTGGAGGCTATTTTGTAAATGACATCGCCAAAGTCAAGGATCGGTAGGATAGTCAGTTTTACGAGGGCATGTTTGGCAGCATGAGTGAAGGAGGCTTTGTTGCGAAATAGGAAGCAGATTCTAGATCTAACTTTTGATTGGAGATGCTTAATGTGAGTCTGGAAGGAGAGTTTACAGTCTAACCAGACACCTAGGTATTTGTAGTTGTCCACATACTCTAGGTCAGACTCGCCGAGAGTAGTGATTCTAGTCGGGTGGGCGGGTGCAAGCAGTGTTCGATTGAAGAGCATGCATTTAGTTTTACTAGTGTTTAAGAGCAGTTGGAGGCTACGGAAGGAGTGTTGTATGGCGTTGAAGCTCGTTTGGAGGTTTGTTAACACAGTGTCCAATGAAGGGCCAGATGTATACAAAATTGTGTCGTCCGCATAAAGGTGGATCCGAGCGTCACCAGCAGCAAGAGCGACATCATTGATATAAACAGAGAATAGAGTCGGCCCGAGAATTGAACCCTGTGGCACCCCCATAGAGACGGCCAGAGATCCAGACAACAGGCCCTCCGATTTGACACATTGAACTCTATCTGAGAAGTAGTTGGTGAACCTGGCGAGGCAGTCATTAGAGAAACCAAGGCTATTTAGTCTGCCAATAAGAATGCGGTGGTTGACAGAGTCGAAAGCCTTGGCCAGGTCGATGAAGACGGCTGCGCAGTACTGTCTTTTATCGATCGCGGTTATAATATCGTTTAGGACCTTGAGCGTGGCTGAGGTGCACCCATGACCAGCTCGGAAACCGGATTGCATAGCGGAGAAGGTACGGTGGGATTCGAAATGGTCGGTGATCTGTTTGTTAACTTGGCTTTCAAATACTTTTGAAAGGCAGGGCAGGATGGATATAGGTCTGTAACAGTTTGGATCTAGAGTGTCACCCCCTTTGAAGAGGGGGATTACTGCGGCAGCTTTCCAATCTCTGGGGATCTCAGACATTACGAAAGAGAGGTTGAACAGGCTAGTAATAGGGGTTGCGACAATTTCGGTGGCTAATTTTATAAAGAAAGGGTCCAGATTGTCTAGCCCAGCTGAATTGTAGGGGTCCACATTTTTCAGCTCTTTCAGAACATCAGCTGTCTGATGTGTGAAGAATATTGACGGGATTTAACCGGGTGAGCGTTGATTGCATGCTATTTGGAACCGGGCTGCCCGGTTCTGGCAAATGGCGAAGTCGGCTGAAAACAAAAGTGACGTAGGTTAAACACATGGAGTAATGTTTAGGATTCTTTGTTTTCACATGCAAAAGTGATTGTTTATGATAAAAAAAACACTTTATCTGCCTTCCCAAAGAAAACTAGTTAAAACATATACAGTATTTTATGGAAGAGATGTACAGTGCCTTCAGAAAGTATTAATACCCCTTGATTTCTTCCACATTTTGTTGTGGTACAGCCTGAATTCAAAATGGATTAAATAGATTATTTTTTCTAAGCCATCTACACACAATACCCCATAATGGCAAAGTGCAGGGCTGGCGTTATGGCTGGCCTTAGGTGGCCTGGCCCGCCCTACCATACCTCCTTGCCCGTCCATATAAAATATTGAAATATTGATAATTTATTTGAGTAAAACGTGCGCTGACAGAAATAAATCTCAGATAAAGCATCTGATCGAGCAAAAAGGCGCCCCTCTGTCTCAATATGTGTAAACCAAGTATCTGATGCTGTCTGGACAAAAGCAGTATGGCATGTCATACTATTCTGAGCAAAAATATAAACGCAACATGTAAAGTGTTGGTCCCATGTTTCATGAGCTGAAATAAAAGTAACCCAACATTTTCCATACGCACAAAAAGCTTAATTCTCTCACATTTTGTGCACAAATTTGTTTACATCTCTGTTAGTGAGCATTTCTCCTATGCCAAGATAATCCATCCACCTGACAGGTGTAGCATATCAAAAAGATGATTAAACAGCATGAGCATTACACAGGTGCACCTTGTGCTGGGGACAATAAAAGGTAACTCTAAAATGTGCAGTTTTGTCACACAACACAATGCCACAGATGTCTCAAGTTTTGAGGGAGCATGCAATTGGCATGCTAACTGCAGTAATGTACACCAGAGCTGTTGCCAGAGAATTGTACCGGGCAGATGGCAGATGGCAGGCAGCGTGTATGGCGTTGTGTGATTGAGCGGTTTGCTGATGTCAACATTGTGAACAGAGTGCCCCATGGTGGGGTTATGGTATGGGTAGGCATAAGCTACAGACAACGAACACAATTGCATTTTAACAATGGCAATTTGAATGCACAGAGATACCATGATGAGATTCTGAGGCCCATTGTCATGCCATTCATCCGCCGCCATCACCTCATGTTTCAGCATGATTATGCACGGCCCCACGTCGTAAGGATCTGTACACAATTCCTGGAAGCTGAAAATGTCCCAGTTCTTCCAAGGCCTGCATACTCACTAGATGGGATGCTCTGGATTGACATGTTCGACAGCATGTTCCAGTTCCCGCCATTATCCAGCAACTTCGCACATCCATTGAAGAGGAGTGAGACAACATTCCACAGGCCACAATCAACAGCCTGATCAACTCTATACGAAGGAGATGTGTCGCGCTGCATGAGGCAAATGTTGGTCATACCAGATACTGACTGGTTTTCTGATCCATGCCCCTACTTTTTTCTTTAATGTATTAGTGGCCAACATATGCATATCTGTATTCCCTGTCATGTGAAATGTATACAGTTGCGGTCAAAAGTTTTGAGAATGACACAAATATTAATTTTCAC